TTGGCCTGGCCCTGGAATCAGGCATCTCTTCAAGAATCTCTGATCCTCTGCTAAGTAGTAAATGGTATCTGGAGGCCACAGGCCAGGCCTCAGGACAATCTCTGCTATCAGGGACTTTTCCCGCCAGAGCCGGGAAATACAGTTGGTCATTGAATAACACGGGTTTGAACCCTGCAGGCCTACTTACACACAGAGCCTTTCTAATACGTGCAGTGCAGGCCTGTAAGTGTATTTTCTCTCCCTTATGAGCTTCTTAGCAACAATTTCTCTTCTCAAGCTTATTCTGTTGTCAGAATACAGGATATAATACAGATAACATACAAAGTATGTGTTAATCGGCTGCTTACGTTCCCAGTAAGGCTTCTGGTCAGCAGTAGGCTATTTGTAGTGAAGTTTGAGGGGAGTCAGAGGTTATATGTGGCTTTTCAATAGCCTGGAGGGGGGCGCAGCACCCCTAACCCCCCACATTATTCACAGGTCCACTGTATATATTTAGTTAGAAAAAGAAAAATAATTAATTAGGTCAAACTGAGACTTCCAATTCAAGCTTTAAGATGGTAAGGCCTTGGGGCGCCTGGGGGGCTCAGCTGGTTGGGTGTCTGACTCCGGCTCAGGTCACGATCTCACAGATGGGGAGTTTGAGCCCCGTGTCGGGCTCTGTGCTGACAGCTCGGGGCCCAGAGCCTGCTTCGGATTCTGTGTCTCCCTCTCTCTCTGCCCCTCCCCTGCTTGCGCTCCATCTCTCTCTCAAAAATAAATAGTTTTAGGGGCGCCTGGGTGGCTTAGTCGGTTAAGCGTCCGACTTTCGCTTAGGTCATGATCTCGCGGTTCGTGGGTTCGAGCCCCGCGTCGGGCTATGTGCTGACTGCCAGCTCAGAGCCTGGAGCCTGTTTCAGTCTGTGACTCCCTCTCTCTCTGACCCTCCCCTGCTCACGCTGTCTCTCTCTCTCTCTCTCTCCTAGAAATAAATAAAAATATTTTTAAAAATAAATAAATAAATAAATAGTTTTTAAAAATGTTAGAAAATATCTCCCTGTCAATGTGGAGTCAAAATTCTGCATTTTAAAGGAGCTTGAGGTCACAGTTTACCCTGTGTGGCTGTGTTACCAACTTGGGGGCCACTGAGTTCATTTGCCACAGTCTGTCCTCAATTTGGGGGACATCTTTTTGATCAGTGGGTTCTATAAAACATTTACATGGTTGCAAAGCCATCCTGGAAAACGAGACAGATCTCACTTCTGTCCCTGTCTTTCCCTACTAGTAATGATGCTTATTAGATTTGGGTTTCCTTTTCCACAAATTCTTATTTAAAATAGACAATATACGTGTAGGTAAAAGCAACAAGCTATATATACTGTTTTATTCTACCTCCTCTTTTTTCTTTTCAACAAACAATATATCCCGAAGGTCTCACCCATCTGATTCTTTTTTCCACCCGCGTTATACACAGTTGTGTGGTTACATTGTAGCTCATATTCACACTCCCCTTGACCCTCACTTTGGACATACCGCTAATGTTTTGCTATTCCAAATAACATTGCAGTACCTCCATGTGGCTTATGCAGACATCTAACTTTAAAAAAAAATCACATGGGGCACCTGGGTGGCTCAGTTGGCAAAGCTTCCAACTTCGGCTCAGGTCACGATCTCACAGTTTGTGGGTTGGAACCCCGCTTCGGGCTCTGTGCTGACAGCTCAGAGCCTGGAGCCTGCTTCAGATTCTGTGTCTCCCTCTTTCTCTGCCCCTTCCCTGCTCATGCTCTGTCTCTCTCCCTCTCTCTCTCTCAAAAATAAATAAACATTTAAAAAAATTTAAAAATCACAGGCCCAAAATGATCACAGGGATCATTTAGGCCAAGTCCCCAGTGGAGGCTTAATACATAATCAAACTGTAGTTTCAACCTCTCCCAGAAATGTCATCTTAACTGATCAGTCAGGAATTTTCTGATGGGCCCTCTCCATCCCCTAAAGGAAGATAAGGTGATCTTCAAGATAAGACCTAGTAGTTTCCCCTCAAGGGAAAGCAGCTTCGCCTGGAAGAATCTTTTCCTTTGCTGGGAATTTTCCTGCCTCACCTACTTGTAGGAGAACTCTGCATTTTGTACAACTCCGCAGGGGCTCCCTTCCCCCTGCCCCCCCCCCCCCGTTTGCTTGGACTGGACGATGCCCGATTCATGAATTGTACCCTAAAGCCAACTCCATCTTTACATTTCACAAATAATTCACTTGAATTATTTGACAGGCTTTTTGCCAATGTATCTTTGGGTGAGGGTCCTAGAAGTAGAATCACTACATTACAAAGGGGCATGTGTGGGGGTGCCTGGGTGGCTCAGTCGGTGAAGCGTCCGTCTTCGGCTCAGGTCATGATCTCATGGATCATGGGTTCAAGCCCCACCTCAGGCTCCATGCTGACAGCTCAGAACCTGGAGCCTGCTTCGGATTCTGTGTCTCCCTCTCTTTCTGCCCCTCCCCTGCTCGCACTCTGTCTCTCTCTCTCTCTCAAAAATAAATAAACATTAAAAAAATTTTAAAAGGGCATATGTGTGTCATTTGCAAGGTGCTGTCAAATCCCTTCCAGAAGGCTGAGCCACCAAAACTAAATCTGAACAATGTGCAGAATTGAGGGGTGAGATGCAATGCCCTCGCTCCATCTACCACCCCAGCCCGGGGACCAGGCCAGTGTCCCATTGTTCTACTCAAGGGTCAGTCCCGGACAGATCTCACAGAAGACCGAACACCAGCTCCTGGTGTCCTGGAAGCAGCTGTAAAATTCCATTCCCTTCACTTTGGCTGGAACACCACCAGTTTAATGAGTTGCCTGTTCTTTTCAGGCTAAGCTGAAGCTTTTTTTTTTTTTTTTTTTGGTTTCTCTGATGGACAAACTTAAAAAGTAATTGTTTCTTTGTGTGTTTGGCTCTGCAGGCAAAATGTTTCAAGGCGTGGATCCACGTGGGAAATTATGTCTGGTGCTCAGCAAATGGAGGTTATTAGTAAGTTTCTTGGTTGATCTGACCCTGCTGGTCTTTCTTAACAAATGCTAGGTATTCCAAAAAATACAAAAATGCTGATTCGAAGGGGCGCGTTCACCCCAATGTTTGTAGCAATGCTAACAGCAATAGCTAAGGTATAGAAAGAGCCCGAATGTCCACTGATGGATGAATGGATTAAGAAGATGTAAGCACTACTGGAGTACTACTGGAGTGCTGGAGTACTCGCGGAGTACTGGAGTACTACACACTGGAGTACTACTCAGAGATCAGAAAGAATGAAATCTTGCCATTTGCAACAATGTGGATGGACCAGACTGTATTATGCTAAGTGAATTAAGCCAGAGAAAGACAAATACCATCTGATTTCACCCATATGTGGACTTAGAGAAACTGAACAGATGGACATTGGGGAAGGGAAGGGAAAATAAGATAAAAACAGAGAGGGAGGCAAACCATAAGGAGACTCTCAAATACAGAGAACAAACAGGGTTGCTGGAGGGGTGGGGGCGGGGCGGGCTAAGTGGGTGATGGGCATTAAGGAGGGCACTCGTTGGTATGAGCACTGGGTGTTATATGTAAGTGATGAATCACTGGGTTCTACTCCTGAAACCAATGCTACATGGTGGGTTAACTAACTTGAATTTGAATAAATAGTTTAAAATGCAAAAAAAACTAACATGGCTGGGAGGCATTCGGTCTCTTGTTCATTTAACCAATGTGAATTGAACACCCCTTCGGTCTGCGCTCTACTCCCATTGCTGGGCTGGAAATAAAAACCTGCGCCGCCTACAGCACACAGTCGCTTAAGGTTTGGCTCACACTGTGTTTGTGGGTCTGGTTTTTTGTTGTTGTTGTTGTTGTTGTTTTTTAAAGAAAGTAGTTGCTAACATTTGAAAATAAGGATTTCACATACATGTCCAGGCTTCTGACATCTCTTGAAAACTTGGCCAGGCCTGGCATCACCAGTCAGACATGACAGCTGCTGGTTGGAACGGGGTAGAGGCTGCCCCCTTGTGGTGGGGCATAGGATGCCCCGTCGAGCCCTTCTATTTCCCTCACCTCCTGGACCTTGAGTGTGTGAGCCCTGCCCCAGATACCACGCTCCCTGAAGGCAAGGACCACTTGTGTCTTACTTGACTTTGACTTTCTAGCACCCAGCCCAGACCCCAGCACACGGCAGGTCCTCAATACATGTTTGTTTATGAACAAAATATCTTTTGGAAGCATACATCACATTTTTTCTAATATTCAAATGGTGCCGGGGCACCTGGGTGGCTCAGTCAGTTGAGTGTCCGACTTCAGCTCAGGTCATGATCTCGAGGTTCACAAGTCCAAGCCCTGCATCAGGCTCTGTGCTGACAGCTCAGAGCCTGGAGCCTGCTTCGGATTCTGTGTCTCCCTCTCTCTCTGCCCCTCTGCTGCTCATGCTTTGTCTTTCTCTCTCTCTCGAAAATAAATAAACATTAAAAAAATTTTTTTAATGGTGCAAATCATTCTAGTGCTCTCGCCTAATCTCTGGAGCCGAGCGACATCTTACGTGCCCTTGGTCTGTGCCATCCCATCACCTCAAGTCACCTGTATGCCAGTGCGCTGTCCTCAGTGTCTTCACAGTGACATTTGACCCCCTAGCGATCGCCTCTACACATGAGGCTAGCGATGCATACCTCAAGAACCCCTGGGGAAACTGCAGAAATCAGAAAAGTCAAGCGTTAACACCTGGCGCTTGTTTTTATCGCATATTAGCAGCACCTTTATCTCCAAGCGGCAAGAGTCTCCACTCCTTGTTAGATCTTGTGGTTTGGGCTTTTTTCTTTCTTTCTTTCCAGCCAAGCCCCAAGGAAGAGGTTACACCAGAAATCTCTGTATTCTGTACATTTTCTAAATCTCCTGTTCACAAACACTGATGGGATAAAGATCTTATCGGGAGGTTTGTATTTCTTATCAGGTCCACTTAGTGGCCCTTAAGGGGACAACTGGGACAGGTCAGAGCATATATAACAAGCAACTCTTGCTGGCCATTGCACGCTCAGAACCCAAGGAGAAGGCATATATAACAAACAACTCTTGCTGGCCATTGCACGCTCAGAACCCAAGGAGAAGGCATGAAGTGGCTTGGAATCCTCGGGCTGGTGGCCCTCTCAGAGTGCCTAGTCACGTAAGTATAGGGACGTCAGGTGGCATCAGCTCTCTTTCTGGGCTCTTTCTTGCCCTCTTATTCTCCTGCCCATCCATGGGTAAAGAAGAGAATCTAATCATTCCCAGACTGTCTTAAAGTTCAAGTCTCCCTTTATTGACCAGAAGCTTACCATTTGCACTTTGGAGCCCCAGGTGTCTTGGAGAAGGCCTGCGGGGTTGTACGACTCCAGGGGGTGCCAGTCATACGAGCTATGTGAATGGCGCTCCTTGGATTGCTCAGTGCACAACCTGTGCAACTGTAGGCACGGTTCTGTCTATAGCATTTCTCCTGCATTTGTTTCTAGGTCTTCTCTCTGCTCTCTCTCCTTTTCCATATGTATATGTCTCTCTTATTTGTCTCTGCCTCTTTGGATGTCTCTGTGAATGCAAAACACTGTATTTTGTTTTTTTCTATTTTGAGTCTTTCTTATTTCTCTACCCGCTTCATTTCCCTAATTTCTTCCCCAACTCCTCACTTCCTGCGTAACCCCTGTCTTCTGGCTGAGACCCGGAAAAAGATCAAGAAGGATCCTTGCAGGCCCAGTTGTGCCTCTAACAAGCAGCGTGACCATAGCCAAGTCACAAACTCCCTGTAAAACGATGATGAGGTTTTCCACTCCACCTCCCCCACCAGGGCTGCTTTGACAGAGACGCAGTAAGATGACAGATGGCTGCCACTGTCGAGACCTCCTAGCAGTCGGGTGCATGATAGCCATCCTTTTGCTTAACGCCCAAAACGTTCTACGTAGGGGGGATTATCATCATTCCACCTTTTTGCAGGTGGGGAAACTGAGGCACAGAAAGGCCATATGACTTACCCCATATTACACAACAGAATCTGTATTCAAACCCAAGTTTCTTGCCATGGTCTTCCAGTTGGATTGGGTGGCCTGTCCTGATAATGAGATGACATCATAAAAATGCTTGGAAAATACACAGGAGCCTGATGGGCAGCGTTAAGATGTGGCAGTTAAGCTTTAACTAACACGGGGCAAGCCACTGCCGTCTCTCATCGGTTTCTCTTCCCCCACGCTGGCTTCCAGAATCCCTCTGACAAGGGTCAAGTCCATGCGAGAAAACCTCAGGGAGAAAGACAAGCTGAAAGATTACCTGGAGAGCCATCCCTACAACCTGGCCTACAAGTCTGATGACTCCGCAGATCCGGACTCGGCGACACATTTTGTGCCCATGAGGAACTACCTGGATGTGAGTGCAGTGGGGGGACCTACTGGAGCTCCGGCCAAGTGCTGGGGCTCATCTGGAGGTGTGAGTGGGGGTAGGCCGGGGCCAGGGCTCCCACAGACAGAAACGCCCGGGAACAGGGACCCCGTTCACAAAAGAGAAGGCACTCATGACCTCAACACTTGGTTGGTGGTGACCGGGTCTGGCACTGACCAGGTGGCTTGGCCAGTGGAACCATCCATTTCAGTGCCAACACTACGTCACTGGGCACCTGTGAACCACAGCCCTTGGCTTGGGGGCTTTTGTTCTTTCTGAACTAAGCAAATCACTGAGCTATAGTTGAAGGGTGAGTCCTGTCTGATCAAATGACGAAGCCCCCTGTGAACCAAGTCTGACTCCCCAGGCAGAGGAAGTTCCATCTCTAGAATGACACCAGTGAAAAACTTATTGAGCGCCTCCAGTGTGGGAGGTTCTTGTCTCTTCTCCAAGGATGCGTAGCCCAGCCTGGAAGACAGACAAAAAAGTAAATGAATGTCAAGTTAAAGGGCCAAGTGCATGGTATTGCTATTATACATCTTGAGTTTAGAGAAAGTGGCCTGGGGTGACCTAGGAGGGCTGCCTGGAGGAGGAAACACTCAAGCACGGCCTTGAAGGCTGGAAAGGATTTAGTGAGCTACAGAGGACACTGAAGAGCTTTTCAAACGGAGGCACTGGCCTGAGGAGAGGCTGTAAGGTGTAAGATGATTTCAGGAGACACGGGGCACCCAAAGGAGGCAGGCACCCTGGGAGTCAGGGAGGACCAGGGCAGCCCGGCCTGCCTTAACCCCCCGCTTCCCGGCCCCTGCAGCTGGCCTACGTTGGCATCATCAGCATCGGAACGCCCCCCCAGGAGTTCAAGGTCATCTTTGACACGGGCTCGTCTGACCTGTGGGTGCCCTCCATCTACTGCTCTAGCCCTGCCTGCGGTGAGTGCAGCCTTCCGGCTCGTGCCCCCAGCACCCCGTCCTCCGTCCTTGGCAGACTGACGGACGCTTGCCTCCTGTGTCTGCAGCTACTCACAACGTCTTCAACCCTGTGCGGTCCTCCACCTGCCGCGTCTCGGACCGGTCCATCCACCTCCAGTACGGCTCTGGCATGATGTCAGGATTTCTCGCCTACGACACCGTCCGGGTAACGTGGGAACCGGGCGCTGAGGCCAGCTGGCCGGGGGCAGGGGGAGGGCGATGAGCGATCAGAGGACTCGCTTAGGGTCGGGCGGGAGCACCTGTCTTTCCCAAAGTCCCCCGGGGTAGCCACTGCCTGCCCTGAGGGGCTGTGCCCTAGACGGCCAGTACCCCTGCTGGCACAGAGACTTCGAGACTAGCTAACCGAGAAAACGGGTCATCGCGCTGGAGGGGCTTAGGGGCGCGGATGTGCGGCTCCTTTCCCCTTGGTTAGCCCCAGGCTCGTTTTGCGGGGGACAGGGAGAGGCGGGGAAAACCCGGCCACTTTTATATTCTCGGACTGTGCCAGGCACGGTGCTGGGGGCGTTCCTTGTCATACCTTGTTTGATCCTGTACCAGCCTTACACGGCAGGCACTGTTACTGCCGTGACACAGAGGGGAAACTGAGGCACGGGGGGAGGGAGTCCCTTTCCCAAGGTCAGGCACCTGGTAAGCAGTGTCAGAGCTGGGAAGCAGAGCAGGGCTCACACGGAGGCGGTGGCGGGGGGAAGGCGAACTGAAAGGGGGGCTCTGGGTGCAGCCGAGTGCTCCGGGCTCCCAGGCCAAAAAAGCAGGGGTTGCAGAAGTGGGAGAGTCCTGAGAAATGGGTTCTTACCCTTGGGGGCCTTTGAGAATCTGATAAGCACCTGAACACACACACACACACACACACACACACACACACGTGCGTGCATATTTCCCAGGCAGAATTTACACAGGAGCCCCGACAGCTTCATAGTATAATAGCCTTCTCCCCTTGGTTGGACACAAAATCCACAATGAGTTGCAATGAATTCACATCATTTCTGTCGTCACAGCACAGAAAGGTCAATAAGAAGTCTGCCCTCCTCTCTGTTCCTTTTGTCCTCAAGTGGGAACGATTTGGTCCCACTCGAGTCTCAGTGTCCCCACCTGTGAAAAAGGCGCAATGTCCCAGAGGGGCAGGTGTTGGTTAAAATGCACAGCGCCACGCAAACGGAGCCCGTATCTCTGCTCTGGCGGGTCCTAACCATCCGAGGTCCGCCCAGGGCACAGCCACCCCTTTTCCTCCCTGCCCACATCCACCCAGCCCGGCCCCACGTGCCAAACCTTTCCCCCATAACACCCTCTTCTCCCACAGTTCGGGGGCCTCGTCGACGTGGCCCAGGCGTTCGGCCTGAGCCTGCAGGAGCCTGGCAGGTTCATGGAATACGCAGTTTTCGACGGCATCCTGGGCCTGGCCTACCCCAGCCTCAGCCTCAGAGGGACCATCCCCGTCTTCGACAACTTGTGGAAACAGGGTCTCATTTCTCAGGAGGTCTTTGCCTTCTACTTGAACAAGTAAGTCCTGGCTGGACAAGCCTTTTTCCAAATCAGCTGTCACATGCTTTGAGTTACATGAAAATCGTAGACAACTTGATCCTAAAGTTTCTTGAGAGACAGCCTAGTCCGGAGGTCAGCACACTATGGCCTGGGGGCTGTATGTGGCCCGCCACTTGTTTTTGCAAATAAAGTTTTATTGGCACACAACCAGGCTCATTTGTTTCCACCTTGTCCGTGGCTGCCATTGCTCAACAAGGGCAGTGCTGAACAGTCACAATAGACACCACGTGGCCTGCAAAGTCTACAGTAATGATCATCTGGCCCTTGACAAGAGAACGTGGCTGACCCCTGCAGTCCAAGTACCTCGTGTGACAGATGGGGACACCAAGGCCCCGAGAGGAGCTTTGCATACGGTTGCCCAGGCAGGTGCTCGCAACGGCAGGACTCGATCTCAGCCTGTAGGATTCTCCCCCATGGTGGGTAGTCAAGCCATCAGCAGATCTCCAGGCTCCGGCCTCAGTAGCAGGAAAAGCTGAAGTCCCCTGGCCACTTGAGGGTCTAGGGGAGGGCGGGGACAGGGGAGAAGCCCAGACTAGAGAAAGACCTTGTCGACAGACTGTCTTCTCCACCCAAGGCGGAGTTTGACCCGCAGATGTGTGTAGGAAGCAGAGAGTGTGGTGGAGGCTGTGCACTCCAAGAGGGGCCTGAGTTCAAACCCCAGCTCTATACCTAAACTAAAACAGAGCTGCCAAACCCCTCTGAGCCTCAGGAATACGAGACTCAGTCAAAGGAGAAGATTCATTCGATGGAGCACCTGCTATGGGCTGGCGAGGAGGTTGCCAAGAAATAAGTACATAAAGAAAGGGAAAAGGCACCTCCGGATAGTCATTGGTTCCGGGGCAGCAACGAAACAAGGTGGTAGAACAGACAGCGATGAGCATGGTTGCAGATGGGCTACAGCAAAGGCGTCTCTGAGCTGAGACCTCTGTGATGGGAGAGGGCCAGACCCGGGGGGCAAGTTCCAGGCAGAGGGACACCCGAGGACCAACAAGGGGGCCAGTGTGGCCAGAGCCCCAGGGGAGGAGGGGATGGGAAGGAATTCTGGCAAAGAGGCGGGGGCCAGGCTCCCCTGGGTTTTGGTTGTTGTGGGTTTTTTTTAATGTTTTTTATTTATTTCTAGGAGAGAGAGAGACAGCATGAGCAGGGGAGGGTCAGAGAGAGAGGGAGTCACAGACTGAAACAGGCTCCAGGCTCTGAGTTGGCAGTCAGCACAGAGCCCGACGTGGGGCTTGAACCCATGAACCGCAAGATCATGACCTAAGCAAAAGTCGGATGCTTAACCAACTAAGCCACCCAGACGCCCCTTTTTTTTTTTTTTAATATTTCTTTATTTTTGAGAGAGAGAGAGAGCGCACAAGTTGGGAAGGGGCAGAGAGACAGGGAGATGCAAAATCCAAAGCAGGCTCCAGGCTCTGAGCTGTCAGCACAGAGCCCGACGCAGGGCTCGAACCCCCCAACCTCAAGATCATGAATGACCTGAGCCAAAGTTGGACACTTAACCAACTGAGCCACCCGGGCGCCCCTTGGCTCCCCTGGGGTTTTGCTCTAAGAGAGGGGAGAGGGGGGGGGGGGGGGGGGGGGGGGGTTAGGCAAGGAGGAGACATGATCCAATGTACATTTTTGGAAGCTCACCCTGGGAATGATGCCGTGGGGTGGAGGCAGGGAGTCTGGGGAAGAGGCTGCAGCCGCCTCTTTAGAGAGAGGGTGGCAGCTTGGTCCGGGGAGGTAGAGGGAAGAGGGAGAACAGGGCAGGAGTCAGGGTGTATACGCTGGAGGAAGAAACTGCAAGACTTGTTATGGAAGGAAGGAGAGGGATCGGCAGAGAAGTTTCCTCCCTCACTAACATTTTTTGGGTGCTCCCAGGACCTGCTGCATAACTTGCAGGAACAGTGCAAAATGCAAACGTGCTGTTTGACAAGGATTAGGAATTTCAAGACAGGGACGGCAGGGATGCAGGGCCTTGCCGAGCATGGGGCCCTGTGGCCACACCCTGTGTGCGCCTGAACACTCAGCTTTTCTGAAAGACCGCTGGCCAGACCTCTCTGGCCAGCGCGTCCTCCGACTGCATTTCCGGGCGCTCTGATCACTAAAGGGGGTCTGCAGGGGGGGATGGTCAGAGCCAGCCCCGGAGCCAGTTGTCCAGGTTCGAACCCAGCTTCACCATTTCATCAGCCGGGCTTCAACCTCCCCGTGCCTCGACCTCCCTGTCTGTAAAAGGGAAAGCAGAGGAGAGCCTATGCCATGGGGCTTTGTGAGGTGTAGACAAGTGAGCCCTTAGGCAGTGCCCTGGGTGTTGCTGAGCTTGAGAAGAGCATCCCCACCCCCCGCCCCCGGTTAATTTCCATTCATGATGAGCCCCTCCTCTCCCTCCCAGAAAGGAGGAGGAGGGCAGCGTGGTGATGTTCGGCGGCGTGGACCACTCCTACTATAACGGAGACCTCAACTGGGCACCGGTGTCCAAACAGCTCTACTGGCAGTTATCTATGGACAGGTAGGCCCGGCTGCATGACGGCCGCCCCGAGTGACGCCCGCGCGTGACATGGGAGCCGAACTCTCCCTGGGAAGAAGCAGCAGGTGGAGGTCTACACCCGCCTGCTGTGGGGGAGGCTGAGGTAGAAAGGGGATCCGAGAGAACTCCACCAATCTGAACAGGGTCCTGGTCAGGCAGCCAACTACCCTGCTTCACCTGGGATCAATGGGGTCCCTAAGAGCTTGGGACTGTCAGTTTGAAAACAGGGGACGTCCTGAGCAAACCAAGATGGTCGGTCCCGCTAGGGAGAAGCTCCCCAGCATTAGAGAGAGGCCAGCTCCATTCCGGAGGCCTGAGAGCAAATCACACAAAGCTCCTCCCCTTCTCCCCTCCCCCCCCCCCACTATCCTGGCACACTGTAGGGCAGAGGCCCTGACAGCGAGCATCAGGACGCTGGGAATCAGCCCGAGAACAGGGAGGCAATGACTGATGGGATTCTATGTGATGCCAGCAGACAAACACTTAAAATGTCCTTTGGAAGCTTCCATAGCCCCTGTCCCGCCCCAGGGTAGCTCAGGCATTGCCCAGCCATTGCACACACATGCTGGGGGCTGGTGGAGAGCCTCCTGCGGCTCCCTTCCTCTCATTCTGAGCACGTGCTGCCCCGGAGAACCTCCATCTTCACTGTGGGGGCCCCATCATGAGCCCCACACCGAATACAGGCCTCTCATTGTCCCTCACTCACTTATTCATTCATTCAACAAACATATTGGACATCTGCTGTGTGCTGGTCCCTCGAGGGAGGCACTGAGGATAGACCTTGCTCCTTCAGAGCTCACCATCTAACAGGGCAGATGTATAGGAAACAAGTCACACAAATAACGATTTACCCCTTTGATACATGCCCGAAACGAGGGAAAGTATGCCAAGATGACCAAGAGAGGAGACCTGACTGAGTGTGGGAGTAAGACGCCCCTAAAAATGTGACAATGATGCTGGAACCAGGAGGAGGAGGAGAATCAGCCAAAGGGAGTGGGGGTGCTTCTAGAAAGGGGTGCCAGCATGTGCAAAGGCCCTGAGGCACAAGAGAGTTTGGTCCGTTCAAGAACTGAAGGAAGTCACAGAAGGTTGGTAGGTCAGAACACAGGGCAACAGCTGGCAGGCGTGAGCTGAGGGCTGTTCTGGAGAGGAGTGCTGGAGAGGGTGGTAGTGAAGGAAGCCCGCAAGGTGATCCTCAAGCCTGCTTTATCCCCCTGTCTCTCAGCATCTCCATGAACGGGGAGGTTATTGCTTGTAATGGTGGCTGCCAGGCCATTATTGATACCGGAACCTCGCTGCTGATTGGTCCACCTGACGTTATCCTAGACATCCAGAAGATCATCGGTGCCAACGAGTCCCACAGCGGCGAGGTGAAGGGTCATTGCCGCAGGGTGGCTCTCGGGCTTTCTATATGTAGAAGAATCAGCTGGGCCAACCTCTCTCTCTCTCTCTCTCTCTCTCTCTTTCTCTGACAGTACCTAATTGACTGCGATGCCAGCAACACTCTGTCTGACATCGTCTTCACCATCAACGGCATCGACTACCCAGTGCCAGCGAGTGCCTACATCCAGGAGGTAAGGAGCCCACAACCCCGGGCAGGTCCGCAGATCCGGGACTTGGAGGAACGTCGGGTAGCAGCCCGGAGGAAAGGCCCCCTGGAGGCCAAGCCGCGTCATTGCAGATGCTCCTGAGTGGCCAGAGAAGGCCCGCCTCGGGTCCCTAGGAAGGCTGCCTGGAGGGGCTGAGCTCAGGTTTAAGAGCCGGTGGGGGTGAGGGGAGAAGGAAAGGCATTCTTTGCGGAGGGAACAGCCGGAGCGAATCAGAACCGGCAGCCTGGGAGAACCGCAGACAGTTCTGGTTCCTGCGCGGGCACCCCACCTCTGCCGCTGCTCAAAGAGCCACTTGGCTCACAGGAGACGAAGGGAATCCAGCGCAGAGGCTCTGGCTGTTGAAGGTGGCTGCAAGCGGGGGCTCGGGCTGCCTGGTGAGCGTTTCCGTCTCTTCCAGGGTCCTGACAGCACCTGCTTCAGCAGCTTTGACAGTCTCAGAGGCAGCTTGCTCACCTCAGACTCCTGGATCCTGGGTGATGTCTTCCTGAGGTTGTATTTCACCGTCTTCGATCGAGCAAACAACAGGATCGGCATGGCTCCGGCAGTGTGAATGCTGGGGCTGCTCCAGGAAGCAACCATGCCCACCCCAGACGTGGGCGTGCATGCTCTCTCTCACACACACACACACACACACACACACACACACACACACACTCAGGGCATTCCTGCCCAGGGGCTAGCTTGAACTGTGTCTTCTGCTATGCAAAGCCCTGCTCTCAGTGGAGAATAAAAGACCTCATTTTCCACGGTGCTAATATGAACGAGTGCCTCTCTTTGGGTCGGGGGTGGGGGGCGGGAGAGGGTGTGTGTGCAGGAATCCGAATCAAGCAGGACTCCAGAATCCAGCCTGGACCACCAGTGAGAGGGCCCCATCTCCAGCCGCAAGGCTACTGGGGACCCCAGGATTCAAGGACCAGAGCAGGTCGAGGTCTCGGTGACCCAAGAAATCAAAAGCCATCAGCTCATTGTTTCTCTCCCTCCCTGTTTCCCTTCTTTCATCTTTGAGTCTCTTCCTCTGACAAGTTTCTTTCAGTCTTCAACCTGAGCTGAAGGACCTGGGTGGGGGCGGTCGGACTCACGACTTCCCAGCCTTAAGGTCTCCAAACAGAAAGGAAGAAACCTTACAGAACAGCCTGGTACCAGGGAAGGCTCTGATTGGTCCACCTCAGGTCATGTGTCCAGCCCTGGACTAATCACTGTGGCCCGGGCATGATTGGCTCGACTTGGTCACGTGGCCTCATCTGTGCCCTGGGTGTGATTGACAGTGTCTTATAGGACCACGTAGCTTGAGCAGCCGGAGAGCGGTTCCCAAAAGAAGTGGCAGGGGTGCGTTTCTAGACAGAAGCGAAGACGACGCACGCCGCCAATATCCGCCCTCTCCTCATTCAGAGGGATGTTAAAGGATAGTAAAAATAGATTCTATTCTTTCGGTTGCAAAGGACGACCTGGCAGTGACCTTCTGCGCCAGGAGCAGGTGGGGGGTGGGGAGTGTTCTGAATGAGGCCCTTTAAACTAAGATGCTTCCACCGGGGCCTCCTATAGCGAGGCGGGCAAAGGACCCCAGCCACCAACTCTCTGCCACCTACGAGGTCCTCTCCAGTCCGGCTTCCCAAGTGGCAGACCCACGTGGACCCCTGAGCCCTCCCCACCCCTCAGAAGCCCAACAGGACCCCTCCCTTGGCCTCTAAGACCTCTTTAGGGAGACAGACGCTCATGTAAAAGGGGACCTAGAGTGCACAAAGCCTTCAGCCTTCCAGAGCCTGCTATCCTGAGTGTCCTCCAGGGGGGTACAGCTATAAAACCATTTGGTTTGAGCTGCCTTGGTTTGGGAAGTGGGGGTGGGGGCATCACTTCTTGCCACCTGGAGACCCCCTCCCCCAGGCAGAGGCCCAAGACAGGGCAGGAGGAATCAAAAGGCAGAGGGAGGGAGGCCCAGACAAAAGGAGTAATAACGTAGAAAACGACATCCTATCCCTATGCATGGTACTGTCATTATTCCTAAGGGACAAACAGCACAGAAAGTGGCATTTCTTCTTTCGGTATCTTTTCCTTTGCCACATATTTACTGAGCACCTACGATGTGCCAGGCACCGTGGCGGGACCCTGGGATAGAAGGCTGGATTAGCAGGGCACCTGGGTGGTCTGGTCGGTCAGTTAAATGTCTGACTTTTGATTTCTGCTCAGGTCATGATCTCATGATCTCATGGTTCATGAGATCAAGCCCTGCACTGGGCTTCGCGATATCAGCTTGGGATTCTCTCTCTCCCTCTCTGCCTCTGCCCCACTCTAGCGAGTGCACACACACACTCTCACTCTCTTTCTCTCTCTCTGTCTCATGAATAAATAAACATCTTTTTTAAAAAGGGCTGGATTAGGAACCCACTGTTCGACAAGGAGAAAGAGACAAATGATAACACCCACCTGTGAGTGCCAGGTGGCAAAAACAACCAAAGTGTTAGTAGGAAGCCAGAGGAGTGACAGGCTTTCTCTTGCATGAGCCAGGGAAAGGTTGGGGGGGAGGGGCTGGCATTGCCACCCCAGCCTGAAACGTAGCCCCAAACCCTGCAGTTACCATCTGTGTGAGATGCACTGTGTGCCCACTGTTATGTCCCAGACCCTTTGCGAGGGAATAAGATTATGATCACATAGGGAAAGCATAAGGGAATGCAGAGGAAAAAGTGAGACCAGAATTCATATTGCTTTTACTTGTTTTTATTTTTTAAATTTTATTTATTTATTTTGAGAGAGAGAGAGAGAAAGAGTATGAGTGGGGGAGGTGCAGAGAGAGAGGGTGAGAGAGAGAATCCCAAGCAGGCTCCACACTGTCAGCACAGAACCCCATGTGGGGCTCGAATTCATGAACCCGTGATCATGATTTGAGTCCAAATCAAGAGTTGGACACTTAACTGACCGAGCCACCCAGGCGCCCCGGTATTATTTTTAAACAAACAATAAAAACCCAGAAATGGGCTTAATGGAGACTCAAGTGGACAGTTTGTAAAACTCATTTTCCAAGTGAGTCTTCATGGAACTTCTCTGTTGGACAGAAACCACCATTAAGAGCAAGAATATGCTATCTCACTGTCTCCCCCATGACCCTCCTGCAAGGCAGGGAATGTTGTGCCCATTGTACAGATAAGGGGGGGGGGTGTCTCTGAACTTCTGGCTCCAACTCCCAGTGACAGGCACATAGTAGGCCATCAGGAAATACACGCTGAATAAATGAAGAGATGAATTAGTAAGTGCTGCCCTCTAGCGCACACTGCTGCCTCCACGGTGGGAGACCTGTGCGGGATCAGTGATCTTTCAATCACCTGTAAAGGGGCTTTGCTCCCCTAAATGAGCCTAAGCTCAAGGCCGGAGCTGGTGTCTTTTTTTTTTTAACATTTATTTATTTTTGAGAGACACAGAGCACAAATGGGGGAGGGGCAGAGAGAGAGGGAGACACAGCATCTGAAGCAAGGTCCAGGCACTGAGCTGTCAGCACAGAGCCCGATATAGGGCTTGAACCCGCGAACCATGAGATCATGACCTGAGCCGAGGTCGGAAGCTTCACCGGCTGAGCTGCCCAGGCGCCCCAAGGTGTCTTTCAATGAACCAAACTTTCCTTGAGCCTCTGTATGTGTAGCCTGTGCCACCAACAGGGGCATAAATCCTGATCTTCAAAGCAAAAATCCACCCCCCACAACCCCCTGCTTCATCCTCTATGGATTGTACACGGAAGGGATGTATAGCCTTTGGGGAGAGAGAATATAGAGAAAAAGGGAAAAGATAGCTCTTGAACACTTCTTGTGAGAGTGTAAATTGATGCCATCTTTTTAGAGCTTTGTCCTTAAACTAAGATTGGGAGGAAAGCTAGGCATTAGTCTAGGAAAGAGAAACGCTGCCAACAGAGAGATGATACCTCTGCTGGGGCTGCACACTGCCACAAGTCCATTCCCGTAGAAAAAGCCAACCCGGAACCGACCGTGACGTGCTGACACCTAGTGGCCAAGAGAGGAATTGCACACACTCTCCACCTCCTCTTCCCCATTGCCTGCCGCTTGGTTCCAGCTACTTGAATATTGCTATTTGGCAACATGAAACCCCAGTCATACTAACTCTCCCACCTTTAGACCTGCTAAGACTTTGATAAGGAGATCCCAACTATATATATTTAGCTAAAAATTATTTATTAGCTATAAATATTTTCCCAGGGAAGTTTTGTTAATAAAAGTTTGAAAGTGGCACATAAAGACCGGCTCCTGAGGGGCCCCGTTGGTTGAGTGTCAGGCTTTGGCTCAGGCCATGATCTCACAGTTAGTGAGTTTGAGCCCCACATCGGGCTCTGACAGCACAGAGCCTGCTTTGGATCCTCTCTCTCCTTCTCTCTCTGCCCCTCCCCTGCTCTCTCTCTCAGAAATAAATCAACATTTAAAAAATAAAAGAAAATGTCAACCCTCACCGACACTCTTGTGCCCTTGTCCCCTGCATGCTTTCAGTTCCCTCTTCTCTCCACTGTCACCGTTTCATACACTACACAATTTGTCTATGCCTCTTGGGATTGTCTGTCACCTTCCCTGCAGCGAAAATTCATGAAGGAGAGATTTGTTCACAGAACTGTCTTGTTCCTTGATAGATTCCTCGGTGCCTAAGTTAGGGCCTGGAGCAGAATAGATGCTCCTTACATATTCTGGGGGTGAACATTATGTCAATCGAGCGTTGAGAAAACACCGCATCCAGGGCTCTGCAAAAGCCAGAAGCGTGGACTTGGCCAGCTGTGATCCGTTTCCTTGGGCCGCTGTAACACGTTCCTGGACTGAACGGCTTACACAACGGAAATTCATTTTCCCCCAGTTCTGGAGGCCGGAAGTCTGAGGTCAAGGTGTTGTCACGAGGGTGGTCTGTTCTGAGGCCTCTGTCCATGGCTTTTAGGTGGCCGCCTTCCTCTGGTGTCTTCACATGGTCTTTCCTCTGTGTGTGCCTGTGTCCTAATCTCTTCTTAGAAGGACACTGGTCAGGTTGGATTAGGGCGACCCATATAACTTCATTTTATCTTAATCATCTGTCTAAGGAAACTGTCTCCAAATAGTCCCATTCGGGGATTCTGGGGTTAAGACGTCAATATATGAAAAGGGGGGAGGGGGAACTAAGTCAGCCCATTTCATAGATAAACACCGAAAAAATGCTAGGATGTGTCAAAAGAATACAGGCATCAGCTGAAAGGGGTTCCTAGGGGCCAAACCCAGGTCCAGCGAGGCTTGAACCACAAGAATAATAACAGATTATAAGTCACTGAATAAAACAAGAATCTATGAGTCCATACCGATGAATAAAAACAGATAAATATGTAGGGTAAATGGAACGGCTATCCCTCACCATAGACTGCTGATTGAAAAATGTAAAAGAAAATTACCACCTTGCAGCCCTTGCTTTAATAATTGATTCAGACACAAATCCTCATGGGATGCTTCAACCCAGGTGAAGGTCTCAAGGGGAAGAGCATATTTACACAGTCCCAAAGCACCTCCCCACAGAATACCTTAGACATCCCAGCTCGAGAGCCACAGTAGACAATCTGGTCGGCAGGTGCCTCCTTTTTTTTTTTTTTTCAGTTTATTTATTTATTTTTGGGGAGGGGGTGATGGGCAGAGAGAGAGAGAGAGAGAGAGAGAATCCCACGCAGGGTCTGGACTGCTAGTGCGGAGCCCAATGCGGGGCTCAAACCCACAAACTGTGAGATTGTGACCGGAGCCGAAACTATGAGTCAGAGGCTTAACCG